GGGAAGGAGGGAGAGGGAGAGGAGGGAGAGGGAGGGAAGGAGGGAGGGAGGGAGGGAGCGAGGGAGCGAGAGAGGTAGGGAGGGAGGGAGCAGGAGCGGGAGCGAGGGAGCGGGCGGGAGCGAGGGAGCGGGAGCGAGAGCGAGGGAGCGGGAGCGAGAGCGAGGGAGCGGGAGGGGGAGCGAGAGCGAGGGAGCGGGAGCGAGAGCGCGAGAGCGCGGGAGCGAGAGCGAGAGAGCGCGAGGGAGCGAGAGAGCGAGAGCGCGAGGGAGAGCGAGAGCGAGAGAGCGAGAGAGCAAGAGAGAGAGAGAGAGAGCGAGAGAGCGAGAGAGCGAGAGAGCGAGAGAGAGAGAGAGTGTGTGTGTGTGTGTGAAATTGTTGGGGAAATTTGAAGTCGGGAAATTGTTCTCAAAACTGGCCGTCGTTTTCATCGTGTCGCAACCAGCAAAGACCTGAGATGCACTAGGACAATTCAAAGGCTCCCAACGCCCTTCGAAGGTGAAGTCCCACTTTTCGCGAAAGTTTGCTTGGAGCCAAAGCATCGGCGTTGGCGGCAAAGTTCTCGTCGGTGCCACTGCCGCCAGACATGTCAGCAGACATAAAAAAGAAGAGGAGAGAGCAGAGCCAAAGCGTGAGAGATGCAGAAGAAAGAGAAAGCCCAATGTCAAAGACGCATATTCGATGTGTCAGTGCACATAGCGATGGAGTAGTGCCAAGCTTCATCTTTGCTCTTTCCTTTCCCAAGGGCGCACTTGTTCAGGCCTTCTCAATGATGAGGTCTCCATGTGGGCTTCACCCTCAATCATCTCATCAATCTCGGCGTCGAAGGGGCTTCTTTACCTGGAAATGGCCAACCATCATCCGCCTCCTGCTGCTCTCCCATTTCCTCCTCATCTTCACCTGGATCTTCCTTCGCTTGGTTTGCTCTCCACGGCTTCTCTTCCATGCCTCTGACTCACCTCTGGCCTCAAGAACATTGAGTCTTCACCTGGACTGACTGTCCATTGGCGCCACATCATCTTGTCCTCGATCTTGATCACGCTTGCCAATGTCAAACTCTCCGTTGACACTCTGTGAACCTATGATGAAGTTGCACGCTCGAGTGACAACAGCTTTTCGCAGATGCCACCCATCATCAACTGCACATGCTGTCTGAGTTTCTGGGGGGTGACCCTCAACAACACTGAAATCTTCGTTTTCTGCGCAATCTCCTCGCCAGCAACTGAGCGATACTCTTCTGCCAACCTTTCCAATCCGAGCACTTGCTCAAGGATCCCAACTCCCTTATCTCTTGTAAGTGCGCAATGTGACAAGTACGCTTGCAACATTGCAATGGATCTGGTTCATGTCTTTGGCGTGAGCTGTCCTGACAACGGCCTTCTCAGCCTCATCCGGATCTTTCTCCCAGCCTTTGTCCGCAAAGGTCAACCAGTCAGCCTCCAACCCTGCCACATCGTGATCTCCTGCTCTTGATTGCTTGGCGCAAAAGGATCTAGCTGCTTCAGCACCGAAGCCGGCTCCTTTTCCCTTCTCTCTTTCTTCGCCACAGTCACCACGAGTGCAGATTGCCTCAAGCTTTCGACCAAAGCCTGGAGAGCTTCGACATCACCTTTCTTCACTTTTGTTTCTTCTCTTTCCTTTTCATCTTCTTCTTCTCTTTTCTTCGTTCCACCTCAAAGGTCCGCTGACCTTCTCCCTGGGGTATCTTTATTGAGCCCGCCAGGCGGCTCCACCACCATGAAAACTCTCACGGGCGCGCTGAACCCCTTTTTCACATGCTCAGTCTTGAGCCTAGTTAAAGGCGGTATTGAACAGTCATGAACTGACATGTGAGATGGATGACAGTCTTACAATGCTTTGGCTAGGTGCTAGCTGTATAGCGTCGTCCAAAAGAGATTATTGTATCCTTCCTTGTCATTTTACAGTCAATGGGGCATGCTTGTGGCAAAGCGGGGCGGGTAGTTTCTAGACTCTGTCGTGTTGGCCGTGGAGGGCGCTTTCAAGTAGGCTCGGCCACTCAAAAGAAGTTGCATGATAGAACTGATTGTGGTTTGGCTTTATTAGCTTGCCTTTCCAGGTTGGGACTTGCTGACTCGACTGGCTACTGGCTCAAAAAACAGGACATCCTGCCCCACCAACGAATGAACTGGCAAGTGGCTCTGTGGACAGTATCTTCTGCCAAACATACAACCAGCACAGCTATGGATCGTTCATCCAAAGTCTCGCAAAAAGAAACCACTTTTGTCACTAAAAAATGATGTTCAGAGCCTCTCCTTCCTTGCAATTTGGGGAGGTCTGCGCACAGGAAGCTTTAGCCGTGTGACCCAAAATTGCTGGTGCCGGCTAAGTAGAATTGTTGGAATAAAAAAGCCACATCCCATCATGCACAGCCACTCGCTACCGAAAGGTTCCTCTTCAGTTGATCTTTCGTGCAGAGCTCTAGAGGCCTTGAGAATCGTTTGAGTGTCTTTGTCGGGACATTCTCGCACCAGCCGCCACAAAATCCCGAATGCGGTTTCATGAATCAAGCTTTAGCATTCTGGCAACTTTGCAGGGGTCCACGCTGTCACCAAGTTTGACTTTAGCCGCGTTCTCAGACCGGGAAAAAAGCACGGACATGTCGCTGTGCATTAGCGCGCTCCTACTCAGCTCAAACCATTTTGACAACGGCGTCCCAAATGGTACGTACACGATGTCTTTTGTCAACAGTAACTACCCCTGTGTTGCACTGAATCCCAGAGTGACATGAATGTCCTTTGCCACATCCAGGAACATGTGGGTCTCTGTGGCCACCAGGGGAGAGGCTGTTTTTGCGCTGGCACGAGTGCAGCCGTTGATGGAGAATGGGTAGGTCACATGCACCACCCTGGGCGACCGCGTCTGTCTGGTTTTTGGAGCTAGTAATTCTGACAGATTTGATTCAACTGGAACATGCATTCTTCTCCTCAACAGAATACGCTCCTAGGTCCCAAATGATGAGTTGCCTGTGCTCCAAGAAGTATCTCTCTGGCATCGAGACCAAAGACAAACGCTGAAGGCTGGCATCTCCAACTTGAATACATCTTTGACACCTGAGAAACCCTATCTGACTCTTAACAAAAAACTAAGAAACAACTCAGCTGCTGGAAAACTTCTGAACTGAGTTTCGCGCGTAAAATTGAACAAATACTGCCAAGGACCCTGTTCGCCAATCCACTCACCGCTCACACACGTAAAGACCGCCTCACTTTCACGAGGGCCTTCCCATTGAAGTCCATGTTGCAGTCTGGCAAACATCCTGGAGGTGTCGTTGCATCCCACGGAGATCTGCGAAGCAGGAGGAAAGATCTCAGGAAGAGGAATCTTACTCATGCCAACTCCAGCAAATGAGCGTCCATCAGGGCTTGTAGTGTTGATGTACTGGCAGCGCATGCAAGGGCCATCAGCCTTTCCAAGAAGAAGCTGCATGGTATCACAAAGCTCAAACTGCTTTTGGAACAGGCAAGGCGGTAGGTTTGAAGGTGTAAAGCTCAACATGCTTCGGCGCTTGATTTCTTGCCAACATCTGTGCGGATTTGCGATGTGGCAAAAAGATCCCTCCTGAGGGACCATTCCATACAACTCGTTCACAACCTGTAGGCCCACGTCTTGTATGTCGTCGCAACTCTGGAGCAAGGTACAAGTCTCTGAGGTCTTTCCGAACAAGTAGAATTTGCATTCTGGGTTGGAAGAGCATGCCTTGTGACAGTCGTCCAAGTCGAGGTGGAAGAACTGTCCCACGGAGGCCTAAGTGCAACATACCAAGGGTTCTGTTTCTCGCCATTCCTGAGGACCTCACCATCACATTATGGAACTAGTAACTAGTACATATTAAGTGCATGCTCTGTCTCAGTAAGTGTTCAAAGAGCTTTTGACTCGTGACACCAATTCAACAGGCACAGACTTTCAAGCCCCGCTCCTATCCCAAGATGCATTTATAATCTATATATCAGAATGCATGGCAGTCCATTGCACTCCCGGGGCCCTCGCCGTCTCTTCACAGGCGTAAGGCCCAGAGAACACGCGCTGAGCAGGAACCTCAAAACGAAACGCCATAACCCCATCCACAAGACTAACAAGACCACACTAGAAGGAATATGGGGTAATCAATCCTGCGTGCTCTTGAGCTCTTGAACAATGATTTGCGGCATCAGAACGAGCCAAGAAACTGTACCATTGTTGAAGGAGCCCGTTGCATTGCGGGGAACCGCCGCATTGGATGCATGATCCACTGGCTCTACATTGGCATAAGCTTCCCCGAAGCACTCACAGGGATGCAATGAATAGATGCCAGGCGTCTCAACCGTGCCAAACTCCAAGTCGCCCAATGGTTTTGAGCATGATGGCACTGACAAAGCCAAGGTTCCTCCTTGCACGGCAGGCTGACTGGCAGCTTTGGCTAGACTTAGTTCTGGTGGGAGTAGCTGCAGTTCAAAGGCGGCCTGGCCAGTTTTGAAGGCGTTGCCAACCACATCCGTGTCAGCGCAAGCCATGGCATTCCCAAAGAATTCAGGTGCATTGACGGACTCTGCATCCTCATAGTCAGAAGAATTGATGTGTAGGAACAACCAGTTTGACCTGAATTGGGCATGTTTCATTTGACTCATTGGCTGGCACTGTTGATGGGAAGAAAGGTAAGCCGCTTGCAAGTGAGTTTTCAAATGATCTCGGCAAGAGACCCCAAACCGTGTTGAATAGAATAAACCAGGGGTTGATAGACGAATTTCCGCACTTAGTCACAGGGTTTGCAGTTCACACTCCACTGTGAAATGGATGTGGGAACGGAAATGTTCAACACCGTTGCAAGTGACTGCGGAAGGCTGCGGTGATTCAGCTGCAGAAAGCGGCGGGGGTGGTTTTGGGGAATATCGTGGAAGGACCATGAAAGTAAAAACCAAGACGTGGACAGCTTGATCAACAGTTGTGTTGCAGGTACACGGTCAGACGTCTCTGACCGCATCCCATGGCGTCACTAGCTTCGTTGGCCAGCGTGGTGATGTCACGCGCTGGCCCCCTGCGAGGACTTGTGGGAAAAATTAATCGAAAGGACAGCTCCTAGATACTGAGCACATGTATGACAGCAAACGACAAATCGGAGCACCTATATGAAAGAAAATACACATATGTGAGCAAACACATGAAAATGCACATATGACACCACAGGAGGGAACCCACACATGAGAGGAAACACAAAAGAGCCGAGATGCGAAAACACACACATGACAACATACATATGAGGGCGTCAATATGAGAGCGCAGGTATGAGCAGCCCACTAAGAGCACACCTGAGCGAACACGCTTGGGAACAAACACAAAATATAAGAGCTACGAATCGAGGTTCGCACCGCGCTGTGCCTGCCCCAGAAATTTCTCTTCAAGCTGCACAAGCGCTGCGCCTGCTATGTGTGTGGAATATGAATAACTGCAAACCCTGTGACTAAGTGTGTATCGCTGTGTCCTCCCACTGGGTACACATTGTGATCCTCTCGCAAGAGAGGCGCTGAAACCACCGTGGATCACTTTTTGACTTAGCGTTTTTTCACTCGTGGATCAAGTTACTGACTCGATGTCTCACCCATGAGTCGTCTGATCACAAAGCGGCCGCGCTCACAGGATTTGATCCGCAGACGTCCAGCTTCAAATAATTTCCACGTACCTTTCATGCAAGTGTCCACGCTTCAGCTTTTAAGCAAGTGCTTCATGTGCCAGAGTGCAAATGTCTCACCCTTTTCAGCTTTCCACTTCAGATTTCACATGTTAATTTTCAACCTGTACTTGAGGCCGAGGGTAGGTGACGAAAGCTAGCAAGGGTGCATCCGGACTGGTGGGACATCAAGCGGAGTGAGGCAAATGCTCATGAGGTAAAACGTTGTGAACATGTAAGACACACAAACAGCAATGACACAGCCAACCTTAGAATTGAAGTCCCCGATAATTAAGGAAGCGTGGCTGGACTTTGCCACACTGTTCGATGCGTCCGATGTGTTCACGAACCTGTGAGCTTGTTGAATCTGTTGCACCGTATCCCAAAACCTCCACGGAGGAGTTGAACCAGTGTGGATGCCATAAGAGGTGCCCAAGAGGTGTCCCAGAGGCAAAACAAAGCTGCTTGCATGATTTGGTTGGTTTCTTCTATCGATGTCGATGTCATGAACGTGTGAGCTTGTTGAATCTGTTGCACCGTATCCCGGAGGAGTTAAGCCAAAGTGGACGCCATAAGAGATGCCCGAGAGGTGTCCCAGAGGCGTCCGAGGGGGGAGGTGAACCCACGGGGGGGGGGGAGGGGGGATACATATGAAGTTTTCGCGTGATTCGGCGATCCCGAGGATTCCAGCCCCTCACTTGCTAAAGCAAAGACAACTCCATCGCCAAAGGGCATTCCACCACTGAGTGTCGACGGTTTTTGAGCGAGGGGGTGCCGCGAAGCGGCCCGTTGTGTGTGTGTGTTACCCTCCGTATCTAGAAGCTGTCCTTTCGATTAATTTTTCCCACAAGTCCTCGCAGGGGGCCAGCGCATGACATCACGACGCTGGCCAACAAAGCTAGTGATGTCATGGGATGCAGTCAGAGACGTCTGACCGTGTACCTGCAATACAACTGTTGATCACGCTGTCCACGTCCTGGTTTTTACTTTCATGGTCCTTCCACGATATTCACCAAAACCACCCCCGCCGCTTTGTGCAGCTGAATCACCGCAGCCTTCCGCAGTCACTTGCATCAGTGTTGAACATTTCAGTTGAGCTGATTCTGCGCCTTTCCGTTCCCATGTAGGCGCCCAACGTGCGCAGCGAGGTTCACAAAGCGCTGCGCCTGCAACGAAATCTGCACATCGCGGCTTACAAAGCGCTGTACCTGCCACGAAATCTGTACTTCGAGGTGAAACAAAAGCTGCGCCTGCCACGAAATCTGAACGACAAAGCACTGCGACTGCCCTGCAAGCTGCACATTGAAGACTCACAGTCGCGCAGGGCGTTCTGCAACAGAAACACTCCCAAGAACAAACTCAAGATGCCAAACGAAGCTTTCGCGCGATAGTTCTCCCGAATCCTGAAAACAAGCCTATGTCCAAAGTTCACGACTGGCTGCACCTGCCATGAAGTCAGAGCGCGCCAGTGACCACCACCAAGTTCAAAGACAGGCGCTGCCTGCCACAAAATCTGCACATCGACATACAAAAGGATTCTCCGCCTTCCACAAAAAGTGACCACCAAGCCCAAAAACGTGCATGGCACCACAAGGAGAGCGCAGTCGAGGAAAGCACCTGCTAAGCACCCTCTTGTGGTGGTAAGTTTACGCAAGCCTGCGCAGTCTCGAGGGGCATGAACGCACCGGAAATAGCAGCAAATTAGGTGCGGATGTGAGCACCCTTGATTATGTGTGACCACACTCTTTGAGGAAACATCAAAAATGATGTGTCGTGATGTTGCTTTATTTTGTTCTGAGGGAAATCCCCCTTGCTGACTTCCCGAGAAAGGCCAAAAGGGACTATGTCAACCTGCCATAATTCGCGGCCCGGTATTTTGGCCAGTGCCGCTTAGAGGCTTTGCACATGATTCAGGGACCCGCTCCACATTCTCTCTTCGACTCAGCAGCAGTTGCCGCTGGGGATTTGTTCCTGGACGCGAATATGAAGCCTTGCCTTTAAAGATGCTCATCACTGAAAACTCCCCTTCGAGATACTGTGCTCCCGGGAGTGTCACATTGAGGGCGGCATCTTGATCTGAGCAATTGTTCAAACGCAACAGCACCTCAGAATGCAAAGCTGACGGCTTGCCGTCACTCACCATGAGTTTGCAGGCGCCATTCTTGTATTGAACTGCTGCGCAATCATCTCGGAGACGGCAGCTTTGCAGGCACAGACTTTGCTGGGCCTTTGGCAATGTGTTCCATCGAAAGGTCCCAGAAATGTTGCTGGGCACCCAACCTTGGAAACACATTGCCCAAGTTGGCGCACAAGACCCAAGTGCCTCACTTCAACCATTGCCGCCAAGAAGCAAACATCGTCCAGCACTCTGATGCTCAAGACAGATACTGGCAGTGCCCGGTCGTACTGGGGGCCTGCGTCGAGTTTAGAGCCACAGACTATTGAGATCCAAACATGTTTTGTGGTTTGAGTTGTAACGTTAGTTTCACATTTTCACAGGTCTCTGTTGCACGGAAAAGTTCCGAGTTGAGCAGCTTGTACCGGAACTGTCAACTCTTAGACCTTAATAGCACATCAACGGCACAGCTCTAGCCAAACTTCTCTATCAGACGAAGCTCCTTGCTCGAGCGAACGTGCCGAGAAGTACTGAGTACTTGCGAGATGCGTTGAGTTGTAGAAGGGGCATATCAACTGATTCAGCTGCCAAGCATACCAGTCATACAAGCGCCAAAGGGCAAACCAGGCCGCAAAAGGATCTGATCGAGACGCCGGGACCGCCGAAATCGACAGTGATAAAGGAAAAACCAGAGAACTCCGGAAGAGGGAAGCGAGAAGCAGAGAGAAGCGAAAAGAAATGGTGAAGCCAAGTCAAGAGAGTGCGGCAACAAAACCATCTGACGGGTTTTTTCGATGTCGCTGACAAAACGTTCTCGATTCCTCACCAGCCCTCGCAGAAACAGCTGGCATCCTCGCTGTCCACAGAGGGCGACGATGGACGATGGACTTGCCCGCAACATCCGCAGCGAAAACAGAATGTCGACATCCATGTCCAGCTAGCAACTTCCGCAGGAAAGCCTTGAAGAAGCTACTTATCAAAGTTACAAAGGTACTGTATACAAAAGTGCCAATTTGGCTTCCGGGTTCATGCAGCAAACTGGAACATGATCCAAAAAACGGCTTGAGTTAAGCGAAACGTGTGCGTTTTCCGTTTTTTCTCCACGTGTGCCACGCGTGCCATGCTCGGCTCTTGGCCTCCAAGAGCCACTTGGCAGTTGATCGTCAGCTCAGCTCGCCCCTGGGTCGCAGGCAAACTGAGGCCAGGAGTGCCAGAGACCATGCCACTTTGTGGATCCAATTTGAAAGCCACGTCCCCTTCCAGTGTCACATCACCAGAAATGCGAGACCATTTGAGTTGTTTCCCTTCGTTTCCACTGACTTTGCACTCCACATCCAAAATGCTTGGAGGGATGGACTTAGACACGATGAACTTCTCTCCTGTGGCGATGTTCTCGACGATGGGCACCTCGAAGACATGTCCTGAACGGTTGTACCACTGAAAGCCTGGTCCTTGGCCAGGAGAGTTCACTTCTGGTTTTACTTTTGGCCTCACAAAGGACCTCGCATGCATGGCACAAGCGAAAGAGAGACAACTAAGGCTCGATCCCAAGTCTTCCAAAAGAGGTACCTCCGAGATCTCCTCCGAGATGCGGGCAGTGATGTTTGGAACCTTCCACGCACCTCCCTTCCAAAGGCGTGCTTGTGACACCAAGAACTGGGGCGTCACTGCCTTGACTCCACCCTGCATTGGGAAATGTCCCAGCACTTGGCAATTGCAAGACGGCATTCCTGCTAATGTTGTCACCTGCTCCGTCAGGTCTTCTGGCAAGCCTGTCCTGTTTCCTGTCTCAATCCATGTGAGTGCGCCGGAAGGAATCATTGAGAGCCATGAACAGGCGGTGTCACATTGTAGTTGTAAAGACTGTGGCCCATCCATGTTCCTTGAGTGAAGCGGGACAGTTGCATCCGATGGGCTGCCATCTAGGCCCCAAAACTTGAAGTACACCACCTGTTCTCCATAGGAGAACTTGGAGAGCGGTATGGAGAAATCTGTCTGAGTGACAATCCCACGTACAGGATCTTGCACGGAGACCGTGGAGCAGCTGATCTCCGTCACATTCTGCTTCATGGCCACCACTCCTGAGACCCTCCCATTGCTCGCGACAGTCAGGCCGGAGGATCCAAAGGTGCACCCTGGCGCAACCTCCACGACTTCAGCTGTGATGGGCTCTGGCGTGGCATCCACGTATTGGCCGGCATACAGGGACTTGCTTTGCAAAGGCATGTAGACAGGTGTCGGATAGACGCTTCCTCCTCCACATGCACAGCATGCCTCACTTGGCCTGAGTCCCTGGAATTGAACATCGTCAGCTGTTTTGGGCCATGCCCCGGAACAAATGCCATCTTGTTGCAGGTCAGCACAGGTTCTGCCTTGCATATCATGCCAGTTGGGAACATCGTCACACATGAAGCACTTGGATATGTTGACAACTGGTACGGTCTGCATGACATAACCAGCAGCACATTGCCTACAAGCTCCGTCCCTAACAACGCGACAGCCCCCGCATTGCTCACCGGCATTGCAACAAGTATATTTGTAGCTGCCATTCATAAAGTCTCCGATCAAGACCTGTCCGCCTGAACATGTCGGTTTCTTCATCAGGTTGTTGAGCTGATGTCTCACCTGCAGCTGGATATTCTTTGAGAGCACCGGAAGCTTGGGGCATTGCCTGAATTCCAAGCCAGGTCTCGTCCACAAGTCTTTTGGCTGGACATCCTCACGCTCCAAGTGTCGAACTTCTCTGTCAAAACCGATTGGTCCACGAGAAACCTTCTGCAAGCTGCAATATGCGTCATCTGCAAAGGCTGAACCCAAGGTCGTTAGGACCAAAAGCAGCATGGGTGCTGTGAGCTGTGAAGGCTGCACTGTGTGACAAACCACTGGGTTGGTTGTCTTGGGGCAGAAAATCAAAGAACCAAAGACGAAAGCCTGACATGCTGAAACACCTGCATATTATGTGTATATTATATATATATATATATGTTTAAAAGCAGTGTCCAAGCAAGCAGGCATTTCGTATGTATTCGTTCGTGGACAGGCAACCCATTTGGCTTAGGCAAGGCTAAAAAGGGGCGGCCGCGCGTTTGGGATAGGTTTCTCTTGTTTGACCAAGACGGCCTCGGTTTGAACATTGGTAGCGGAGCCCCCCCGCCGACGGGGGGCCTCCAGGGGTTGTGTTGTAGAGTCTTAGGTAGGACTTGTGCACCAAAAGCAGTGTCACGTATGTGCCATGGCAAACAATGATTCTGGTGGGGGAAATACCAAGCGTTTCAATGGTGAGAGTTTGGACCCCAGGGAATACAGGCGCTGGAAGTTATGGGCGGAAGCACGAATGGCTTCCAGCAAGGACATGTCGGCCACGCACCGTGGCCCATTTGTTCTGTGTTTGCTTGATGGCCTAGCCTTAGAGGCAGTTGAGCATTTGTCGTTGGATCGGTTGAAAGAAGAGAACGGAGACAAACATATCTGGGCTGCCCTCGAGGAGAGATTCCCTGATCGTCTTTCCCATGACTGGCTTGCTGAATGCTTGAAGGAAGTATTCGAGCTTTCCGCCACTGATGGTGAAAGCATGGCGGCTTGGACATCGAGAGTGCAAGAGACATTCTCCAAGTGCAGACGGAAGGTGTCGGTCGATTTCCCCACGGAAGCCCGTGGCTGGATCTGTTTACACTCCTCCGGACTTTCAGCGGATCAACGTGCAATTGTCACTGCAAAGACGCAGGGCGATTTGAAGTTTGAGACAGTTGTGCAAGCCATGCGCAGTTGCTTTCCAGAGTTTCGAGCGAGTCGAAAAGGCAAGTCAGCATCGGCTTTACTCGTACAACAACCGGATGATGATGTGACTGTTGAGGACAGCAGTGCATTGACAGAGGACGCGCCGGACTCCGTGTTGTTTGATGAAGTGGAAGCATTTTTAGCAGAGCATGGCATGCAAGCAGAGCCCAACACCGCAACAGAGATCTTTGAAGAGGATGAGATTGCAGAAGTTCTGGCTGCGACCTGGAAAGAGCGTAGGTCTGAGATTTCCAAGCTGCAGAAAACGAGGAAATTTGGCCAAGCCATCGCCATGAGGAAGCAGTTCACTCGAGAAGTCACTGATCTACAGAAGAGGTCCCGCTGCAGGAAATGCAATCAAATCGGACATTGGGCCCGCAATTGTCCCCAGAAGAGCAGCAGCAGCACACCAAGTGGCAGTCGACCCGACAGAGACAAGGCTCATGGGGCTGCCATGGTTGAAGAAGTGTACCTGGTGTCCTCGCCAGGTTATGGCATCATTGACTCTGGCTGCAGCAGAACGTTGATTGGTCAGGAGACCTTGAACCAGTTCCTGAGGCTGTATCACGACAAGAAGATGCCCGCTCCACCCACTCGAGCTCAGCACAATTTGTTTCGATTTGGGAATGGGCAGGAGGAATTGTCGGAACGGGTGGTGTCCATGCCGGTCACTATCCATGGGAAGCCAGGTCGAATTGAGTGCTGCATCATCAAGGGCAGTACACCTTTGCTGCTCAGTCGCAATACAATGAAGAGCTTGAGAGCTTGCTTGGACTTTGAGGCAGAGACCATTTCTATTGCTGGATCCGAGCCACAGCCTCTGCAGAAGAACTCGGCAGGTCAATTCATCCTGAATGTCATGGACGATGAACAGGTGACGGAAGTGTTTCTGTGTGAGGAGCCTCTTCCCCAGGCAGAGGAGCCTGAGCCCGTCGAGGTATTGGAGGAGACAGCAGAAAGTGACCAGTCAGGACAGTCTGATGAAGAGGAGTCGTCAGACTTGCTCGAAGGCTGCACGAGAGTCATGACAAGACGAGAAGAACGTTGTTTGCTGGCTCAACAGAAGGCATGGACCAAGAGTCAGGGCAGCGTGACAGTGGCCGAGTTGTTTTCCCCACCTCGTTTCACAGCAGCAGTGGAAAAACAGGGGGAAAGAGGATTGGCCTTCGACATCAAACAGGGCTGGGATCTCACCAAACCCAGCGTGCAGAATGAAGTCGACAAGCAGTTAGATGAAGCCAAACCAGAGCTGTTGATCTGTTGTCCCGAGTGCAAACATTGGGGTGGCTGGTATCGGTTGAACAGACACAAGTTACCAGTGGTGCAACAGTTACAGCATCAAAGACAAGCAAGAGCGCAAGCAGATTTTTGTGCACAGCAGATCCGGAAGCAACTGAAACGTGGGGGACGGGTGTTACTTGAACATCCATGGACGAGTGACTTGTGGCGACATCCCCCCATCCAGAAGTTGTTGCAGACGGGACAGCTGACCGTGCATAAAGCCAACATGTGTGCATATGACCTCCGTGACGCCGACAACGACAAGCCGATTTTGAAGCCTACTGGACTTGCAGTTTCCCATCAAGACATGGCCGATCTCGCCTTGCAGTGTCCAGGACACGTCGTTCATCAGTCATTGGAGGGGCATGTGTTGGGGGGTGAGACACGAAGTAGTCGAGCAGCAGAGTACACAGCCATGTTTGTTCACACATGGCTGCAGTGCATTCGTCCAGCATGGCATTTGTGTCATTTTTCTTGTTTGCAGGAACCGAGTGAGAGCACGGTTGCCGAAGTGTGTGCAGCTTCCGAAGTTCAGGAAATTGGTCTTTTAGTTAAGAAATTGCACAACAATCTAGGTCATCCGTCGACTCGAACCCTCGGTCGCATCCTGAAGAATGCCGGAGCCAATGAACTGGCTTTGAAAGCTGCAGAGCAAGTAGAGAAGCAATGTGAGATCTGCCAGCAGAGACAACGACCCACACCGTGTTTGCCCGCTAAACCAGAGCAAGTGTATGATTTTAATCACAAGGTTGGTTGGGACGTGAAGCTCCTACCCGGTTGGAGAGTAAACCAACAAGTCAAATGCATGAACATCGTTGACTACGCAACCAGTTTCCAGATGATGATTCCACTGTTTGAGAAGGAGACTTCCGAGGTTCTGAAGAAGATTTTTCTGGAATCGTGGCAACGGTGGGCCGGAGCTCCAGTCGAGGTCGTAGTCGATTCCGCCAAAACCAACACAGCTGAAAATGTGTTTGAACGTTTGGAACAAGATGGCATTCGCATTTCAACCATTGCGGCAGAAGCACATAACCAGCTAGGGAAGGTAGAGAAGCATGGCCATTTGTTTGAGGTGATCTTGCAAAAGATACTCGATCAGGTCCAACCAAAGAGTCAAGCCGAGTACGAACAGTGTGTCATCCAGACGTGTAATGCCAAGAATGAGCTTCTAAACCAGAAAGGGTTGTCACCATGTCAGTTGGTCTTCGGCAGAAATCCCAAGATTGCAAGCGATCTCCTCCAAGAGTGGCCGTGTCCAGTGGCGGCTACCTCACCTCTGCATGATGAAACTGCAGAGAGAGCAGCTGCCATCAGAGCACAAGCTCGTATGGCCCTCGTGATGTCCCAGGATGACAGCAGTCTCCGAACCGCCTTGAACGCACGTCCAAGGGCTGAGAGGGAATTCCTGCCAGGTGACTATGTTGCCTACTGGCGAACTCAGAAATACCAGAAAGGCGTTCGGTTGGTAGGAGGCAGATGGTATGGGGTTGCAATCGTCATGGGAAAGATTGGACGCAACTTCCTCATTTTTCACCGCAAGAACATCTTCAAAGTAGCTCCTGAACATTTGAGGCATATTACTGAAAGTGAACGTGTTCTAGCTCAAGCTGATGGAAGAGAGATGTTGGGTTTATCGTCCTTGTTGAACGAGACAGACAAGAAACAAATTGGTACACAGTTCGTTGACCTCACCAATACACCTACACCTGAACAAGCTGTCGCCAGACAACAACAAGAGGACTTTTGGTTGAAGCGAGGTGAGTACATGTGTCGTATCCACAGGGAGCCTCGGACACAATTGTTCTGGCCTTCGGAGAATGACCCCGCAATCAAAGGTATGTGGTTGGACAACTGGAGGAAGACGATCCGCCCAGACACCAAAGAATGTGTAGTCCATCAACCACTGTCGGATGCCGACAGCAAGCATGCCAACTGGGGGGAAGATCCTTGGAAGGGAGAAACACAGTTTAGAATCCGTGAACGCAGGATGATTCCTTCAGGCGTGCCGTCTTCCAGCGTAGGTCCTGATCGTGGTTCAGAAGAGATGACGTCAAATGTGCCAACGAACTCGGTCGCTCATGAAACGGAAGAGAAACAAACGACTAAGAGCAGTGAACCATATGTCCGACCAGTGTCTGAACCATATTGGCAAAACACGGGTTATGGTCCTGTCAGAGTTCGTCAGCCCTCAAAGAGTCCTCCGACCTTTTTGATTCGACCAATAAATACACAGATGGAAGACTTGCAGGAAGTTTTGACCGAAGCTCATGGCACGAAGAGAAGTCACTCTCCTGAAAACCCATCAAGTCAGGCCAGCAAGAGTCAGCGAACAGAGACAGATGAGACCTGTCTTCTTGCTGATTTAGTCTCCGAGTTTGGTCCAGCAGAGAGTGCCGAAGTGCTCATCGCGAGTTTCCTCCAAGACAACAGAGTGGACCACACTTAGAGATGAGAAACAGGCCTTTCGAGTCATCGCTCCAAGCGAAGCCCAACGCATTCGAGAACAGAGGCCAGATCGGATCATGACTAGTAGGTTTGTGATAATTGAGAAACATGAAGACGGAGAATCAAAGATCAAGAGTCGATGGTGCTTGCGTGGTCATCATGACCCAGATTTGTTCACCAAGGTGCTCGCTGGTAGATGCCACTCACCCACGCTCTCCCAATTTGGACGAAGTTTGATTCTTCAGATGTTGACTAGCAACAAGTGGGTCATGCATTTGGGGGACATTAAAGGAGCATTTTTGGAGGCAGATGTCCGGGACAAAGCTCTTGCGAATCCT